AGAGGGGCGAGAAAAGGGAGATAAAGAACTCAAAGAATAATCAGTAATCATTTGGATTCCCTTATCATCAGAAACTGGAAGCATCTTTTTAGGTACCATAAACTGTACTCCAAATTAGAAGGGAAACATGCAGTGAATAAATTATGGGTAATAATCTAAATATTCGATGGCTCCATGCCACTGACAAAGTTTAATGACAGGTTTAATAGAGAGAATGGCAACCCTACTCTAGCTTTTGCTTTTGAGGGGTAAATGAACAGATATGGAAAGCTAGTTAATAAACTAATGTAGATTCTACATTTCTTTCTCATCCATGTCACTCACAACTAGAAGGCAAGATCATTCTGAAGTAAGCTTTGACCCTGTACCCATCTGCATTAGCTAGTAGAGTCTAATTACTACCATCCGAAGAACACAAACAACACTGAATAGATTCATCTTGTGTGCAAAAGGTTGAACCACTTGTAAAAGGAAATACATTTCCAATCTTATTCTTTAGTTGAAGTGCAAAAAACTTCCATGAAAAATAAGCTTACTTCTCGAATGGCACATGCATGGTCTTCCTCATCTTTGTTCTTTTTCCCACGTGGGAAGCTCCAGCTCGTCCCTTTCCATCCCTTCACTAGGATGCACTATTAATTGCAGCAACAAACACAATGTAAAGACGCTTGTAGAATGGAAGCTTAGTGAATTCAGTTCAACATATATGATAATCCCGGAAAATGTTATACAACTTGAATTTAACATCCTGAATTAAAAGGAATTGCTTTCATTGAAGTTCCATAAACTGGAAAATAACATTTGAATGAAAAAAAAAAAGTACAGATGCACTAACACAAAATCTCTGATAAGTATATCAAGAGATTAGAATTATGGGGAAAAAGAATGAAGAAGTGGGATTAAAAAAGTAAACGGGTGCAAAATTTCATTTCTTAAGCATGAATACATGAATGTGTAAAGTGCATTAGCAGCGTTAAAGTCATGTATAAAAGTACCATGGAGCTAACTTGTCAAATTGAAAACAACAGAGGGACAAAACTGACATTCACTCAAAAATGAAAAAAATGAAAAGGAAAAAAGACTCTTCCTCATTTTTAACTAGCGCAAGAAAGAGACTCACCCGTTCATATGTTTCATCCAAAATAATTGCCCCTGTTACCGGAACACGAACCTTGTAATCAGTGAAATCCTTAAATATATCATCTAAATGCACAACATAAGGCCTTAAAACATCGCAGCTGTTGAACACTGGAACAAGTTAACGAAACAGAGGATATTGATGAAATTGAGAAACAAGAAAACAGACAATACTCATAGCATGGAATAACCAAAAGTACAGAAAGTGCCATAAAGATGTCTTCTAAAAGTAAATAAAAAATCAAGTTAAAAAGGATCTAAACTTATACTGCACTTAATAGTATAAAGTCTAATCTTCAATTTGGAGAGCAAAAAATGATAAAGTCAGAGGTCATCCTCTTCAGAGTCAAAGGTTAGCTCCAACTCCCTGTTGAAAAACAGAGTGTCTCCTTTTCCCAATGGTACAGGTTCTAAGAAATAGAAGCCCAAACTTTGCAATCATAAGACCAAAACCAGATATCTGTATCAACTTATATGCCTTTTTTCTTTTTTCCCAGAAGAAACAATTTGATTCTTACGATGAACAAACTTCATACTATTTATTTACAACAACAAAGTAAAAGTCAGCATCCAAGCAAATAACTGCAAGGTCTTAGATAGAAAAAACATTTCAGAAAATCAAGCAGAGTGCAAATCAAATAACCATGACCAATAGAAATAATTGCCAGACAAAATGGGACAAATCCCCATCTTTGAACTTTAAGAATAGTGTAAATGAACCTTGGACTTCTTATCACTTAAATGTTTAATCATAATCACATAGAAAATGCCCATAAAAATGTAGTACAAAACTGGCATCAATTGATGAGTGACTAGGGCCTAGATGTTTTCATAAACCAAGCTGTGAGATAGGATGATTCCAAACATTTTTTTTTAATTTTGAATCAATATTTTAATGTAAAAAGCTATGATAATTGTAGATAAAAAGGGGTTTGAACAATTAAAAACGAAGAAAATTATCATCAAGCTGAAATCAAGAGTGAATATTTGACAAATCAGCCAACAGGCTATTGATAGAAATATATCACAATGATAAAGATGCATCAGATACAGGATACACAAAGAGGTGAACTCCTTCAGATTCAATGACTTCAGTGATGGATTTTTTTCCACTGTATTGTCCTCGTAGAACCAATGTGCATACTCCACAAGGAAGAGAATTCTCTCAAATGACTGCTGGTCCTCTTTTGGCACATTTAAAACAAACCGACTGCACAACAATTATTAGTAATAAACTTTAGATAGGACCGGGGGGGAAAAAATAACAGAAATAAGGCAATGACATGGAAAACAAAGAGAGAGAGAAGAGAGAGAGAGAGAGAGTGGTTTGGTCATCACATGGTAATGATTTTAAGGCCATAATAACTCATTTGAGTGAAAAACAAAAAAAAATGGAATAGCATCATACAAAAGGACCATCTGCCAATAATTGGATCATATCAGTGAAACTAGAAATTAGTTTCCTAGCAACGCAACCAATTTCTTCATTGTATTCTGCTGGTTGATGAGAAAAGCCAATGTGAAAAACTGCCAATACAACTTGTTAAAGAATCATTAGGAGGAAAATTTCGAATGTGTGATAATTGGCTGGCTGATACCTAAAAACATGATTCTTGAGCTTAAACCTTACACTTGATTGATTAACCCAAAATATAGCTACAATATCTACAACTAATATTACAAAGGGTAAAACTTCCTTAACACCATACTTATAATGCGATTAACAACTCCCCGGTCCCCACTAACGCTATGTTTGGATAAATATTAATAAAGGAAAGGAAAAAAAAGGAAAAGAAAAGAAAAGAAAAGAAAGTTTTTTAAAGGAAAGGAAAGGATATATGTAGCCCTTGTTTGGATAATTAAAATTAATAAAGGAAAAGAAAGGAAAGGAAAGGAAAGGAAAGGAATTCTAACAACCATTGTTTGGATAAAGAGTGAAAAAGAAAGAAATGATTCATTATAATAATTTTTTCCAATTATAACCTTTCATTGCCTGTGATTTTAGAGCATTCCTAGACCATAATATATTTGCTATCTTGTCTGGCCTCACAATTGTTGCTATATCAAAGGTTTTTAATCAAGTGCAACAAGAAGATGTTTTACAAATATGCATTGATGAATTTTGAGTTAGTCTGACATCTCATAAACCCAAAAAATATATCTATTTATATTCAATCATTCATCAAAATCAAATCACCAAAAAATTATAAAAAATTTTTATATTGGAAGATATATATGAAACTTACTTGAAAAAAGAGATGGCTTTGAAAAAATTTACAGAATGATTATCATCTGCTTAGGTTTTTAGTATTAATAAAAAGATGGATATAATAGTCTTTTTATAAAAAAAAATTTCAACTTTCTTTTCCCTAGCTTTTTCTCCAAATAGGAGTATTAAAAAAATTGGGTTTATAAGGGAAACCAAACGTTATTTGGTTTCCAGCTCTTTTCCTTTCTTTAAATTAAATATTTATCCAAACAAGGGAAGGGGGGTTTTGTTTCCTTTACTTTACTTTCCTTTCCTTCCTCTCCCCTCAATCCAAACACACTGTAAATTTTAATTTACATAATTATACACACACCACACCATTAATCTCACTAACAATCTTCAATAAACATCAACATCAATCTAGAAACAATAAAAAGAATCATCGCAACTGCACAATAAGTGGCCTAGCAATAATAAATCATGATCTAAACATCATAGGGGTCTAACCACTATGCTTCTTCAATTGGTCAGTGCAAACAAATTACACAACATGTTCAACAGATATTACAAATGATCATGCTCCCATATCTCCACACTTTTCTCACAAGTTCAAAAGCAATGCAATTAAGAGTTCCCCATAGAAATGTGCAATATATAACTAAGTTGAATTTGTATGATAACCTCCATGTCGCGCCACTGATCACACTAAAAATCTTTAAAAAACACTCACATCATTTTCAATCAAGCAATATCGGAAATCATGAGCTAATAAGCCAAAGCTCCTTTTTTAACTAACTTGACAATCATACAACTGAATTCAGTTACTTATTCTATAAAAAAAAAACCCTAAAACTAGTCAAAAATAAATAAAATAACCACAAAATAACTGGAATTCCAACATCAAATTCTCGGGAAAACAAACAGAAAAGTGAAACCTGCAAAGATCGTCAAGAAGCTCTTGAGGAGGAAGACCGTTCTTCAATGGCGCACTCGAAGATCGATGAAGACCAGACATAGCTTTTTCTGGTAAAAAAAAAAAAAAAAACTAAAACTAAAACCCTACCCCTAACTTTTTTTAGAGAAGATCCAGAAGATTACAGAAGAAGCTTCTATTTTGTTACTAATTTTCTTTTCTTTTTCTATTTGATCGGAAAACTGAGATGGAAAGAGAGAACAAGAGAGGTCCCGCCTGCCGGGATCTCTCGAGGGATGTTGGTGACCCAAAAAAGAAACGTTTCTCCGCCTGCCTGGAAATGAGCTCATTTTATGTGGATTTTGGGATTTTATAGTACCCGGGATTTGACCTAAACGAACCGGGTTTGAAGTTGAACAGGATTTCATGGGCTGGCCCATGGATGGCTGATTAATATTCCCATTTTCTAACTCTTCCATTCTATGTGCTGCTACTAATGATTATTCCGTATTCATCTATCCAATTCACCTTTGACCATTAGCCAAGAACAAAAAATGCAAATCTTCTATTTCAAAATTTAATGATTTAGCATTAATTAAAAATAAAATAATAAAAATATAAAAATATTTCATAAATTAAAAAATAGATCTCACATTTAAATTCATTTTATATTTTTTAAAAAAATTTTCATGTTTCAAAATATATTTTTAAAAAAAGCCATTTATATCATTTTCAAATACTCATTACCACTTACAAACATAAACATTCCATAAATCTTAAATCATAATCCTAAACCCTAAATCCAAATTTTTTTTAATTGAATTTAATTTTTCTCTTATCTTTTTATTTTATGTATTTTTTTTATAATTAAAAAAATTAAAGACTAGTATTTTTTAGTATTATGTGTTTTGAATACGCTGACGCTGAGATATTAAATTATACGGTCCTGCCATGAAATAAAGAAAAGCATGCACCCAGTCCGAATCTTCTGCTTTCGCTGGACTTAAGCTTCCGAACAAAGCTCTGCTTTTCTGCATCAAATCTCCGCTGTAAGTCTCCTTTCTCTCTTTTCTCTCTCATAAAGATCTCCTTTTTTTTTTGCATCAAGTTTTTTTTTAACCCACTTCAGATTACTTCTTTTTAATAAAGTTTCTCCCTTTTTTTTTAGCTTTTAAATTGGCCATATATTCATGTAATTTTTATAGTTTCGTTGACTTGAGGTTGCTATATATACTATATATATATTTTTAAAATTTAATTCAATTTATCAGTAAATATCCATTTCTTTTATGTTTGTTTATGGCTTTTGAAAATTGAAAGTAATGATCCATGGACTTGAATTCATGGAAAATTTCAAATTTTTGTTCAGGATGAATGAGAATATATTAATATCACCTTGTGTGATATTAGTTTTGGCACCATGTCAAGATTCCGTGTTAATTTTCATGAACTCGAGTCCATGAAATCATTAGTAATGAATAGTTAGGAGCCTGTGGATTGTGATGTTTATATGACCTTGGGGTGATATTAGTTCTGGTTTCATGTCAAGATTCGTGATAATTTTCAAGGACTCGAGTCCTTGAAATCTTTACTCGTGAATTAGTTAGTAACCTGTTGATGTCCCAAGTTTAGGAAAAGGTATATTGTTTGCAACCAATCTTTTGGTCATATTTTGAGCAGATTTATTGGTTAAAAAATGCGAAAGCGGTCTCAAAGTTCATCAATTTCACCTAACACATCGGCCAACGAATCAAGTGATACCTTGCAAACCAATGAGGAAGCCAAATTTAATAACATTATTCAGATAAAAAGGGCAAGGAGGTCAGGATTTGTATGGCTGACATTGTTTGCGGTGATTATATACTCTTCTTGGACTGTTCACCACTACCAGTTTGAGAGTTTGCCTGTGCCCCTTACTGCTGACCAAGCTGGCAAAAGGGGTTTCTCAGAGGTGGAGGCAATGAAGCATGTTAAAGCTCTGACTGAATTGGGCCCTCATCCTGTTGGTTCTGATGCTCTCGATCTTGCTCTGCAGGTTGGGTCCATTAAATCATTTTATCAGATTTTTGGCTGATTATAATTGTGTTGTTGTCCTGAATCATGATTATATTCTATTCTCTTTTCATTGTTATTGGATTCTTTGACACGGTTAGGAAAAAAAGGGAAGAATCTTAATTTTGGTTTTGATTAGAATATTTCAGTCGTTTGAATAAGATGTAGCTCAGGTCCTTTTTCTATGAATACTGTGATGTTGACAAAAATTAACCGGTTGGCATTGTGGTGTTGATGGTATATCTTGCCTTAAAATGTTCGTTTTTAGAGGGGTGACTTGCAGTTTTATGATTGAAGATATCCCTTATTTTATGATTTAAGCTGCAAGGCTTGTTTTAAGTCTTCAGTCCGTCATGCATCTTCGTTGATCTATATGTTAGATTACATTGGCTATTCTAGTGATCCATTTCTTGTGCAATCATGTTTTAGAGATAACTGAATATGCTTTCAACACAGTATGTTTTGGCAGCATCAGGAAAAATTAAAAAAACAGCTCACTGGGAGGTTGATGTTGAAGTGGACTTTTTCCATGTTAATTCTGGTGCAAGTCGTCTGGTCAGCGGCATGTTTGTGGGGAGAACACTTGTCTATTCTGATCTGAATCACATCATATTAAGAATCTTGCCAAAATATGTACCTGAAGCAGGAGAAAGTGCTATTTTGATTTCTTCCCACATTGATACTGTTTTCTCAACGTATGATTTCTTCCTTCTCTGTTAATCTATTCCATGTTGGTTCAAATAAGTTTCTTTTCTGACCAAAATGTGTAATACTTTGTGTATGACACGTTGTAGATGTTGCTTTCATTTGAATTCAGCTAAGTCTAATGGTCTTAACAGTAATTTCTTCTTACATTCTTTCTTGCGGTATGTATGCTGCTGATGGACCAGTATAATGCCCAAGTGTCAATGAATAAAATTGGCAGCATTGTAATATCCAGTGAATAATGCCATTTGTATTTCAGATAAGTCAAGAAAGAGAAGGGCAGCTAATTAATTAGTTTCCTGAAGAACAAAAAATACAAACTTTTTTTATTGGTCCAAAACAAATAGTTTTGAATCTGGTGTAAAAGGTTGTTGTTGGAAAAATGAACTGCAAGTCTGCAACACTTTAAGCTCATTTCTTGAAAATTTCAACAAGTAGTTGTGCCCTCAATATTTTCATGTGGGAACATAATCTGTTGGAAACTTTCTCATAACTTTTGGATATTGCATAACACTGCCACTTTTTTTGTGACATCATAATCAATCCTCCATTTTGTCTTGCTTAACAGCATTGGTTAATCTGATGATTTTGTTCTGTGTAAAACATCGTCGTGTTATTTCAGGGAAGGGGCTGGTGATTGCAGCTCATGTGTTGCCGTTATGTTAGAACTTGCTCGGGGAGTTTCTCAGTGGGCTCATGGATTTAAGAATGCTGTGATATTTTTATTTAATACTGGAGAGGAGGAGGGTCTAATTGGTGCTCATAGCTTTATAACACAGGTTGAACATGTTTTCAAGGCCTTCACTTAAAAACTTAAACTGTATTATGTATGATTTTCTTGAGGATTAGCCTCTAAGGTGCATGGTTTGGTTTGGTTTGGGTAGATTTAGTTGTTTTCTTTTTTCTTAGTCCTTGATGATGATACCTTCATGCGTTTTCTCCTACATAATGACTGGAAGATTTGCAAGAAAAATAATGTGATTAAAATAAAGATAGAAGAATCTTATCTGTCTTGTCTTCTCTACATAAAACAGACATGAGGAATGTGTGTACCATGTTTAGTGCTTGGATTAACCCGTATGAACCATATGGCTCAGTTTCTTATTGTAGTTTAATGGTTGATTGAACAAATTTTCTATAGTAAAATTGAACAGTTGCATACATTTCTAGTTAAGCATGTAAGTGAAAGCGTATATATTTTCTTCATGGATTCATGATCTAGCAGTGCCACAAAGAAAGAATATAAGAAACTAAATTAGAGAAAGGAGTTCAGCCAGGAAGAAGATTGGTGAAGGCTTACATAGGTTTGAAAATCTTAAAAGGGATTGTAGAGGCATTCATTTAGAATGTTGCAGGTTTTGTTATTTACGATTGTTGAAGAGCATGTCTACTGCTATACACTAGATTGTTTTAGTTGACAACTCTAGCATAACTCCTTGTTCAAGTTTAGATAAATATTAGTATCTATTTGTTAATTTTTATAACCTGTTAGATGATTAAGCTTGATAGGCAATTCACACTAAAACATTCAATCTCACCACATAACAATTAAGAGAAAGTATAGAAATATCGAGGGGGCAAGGTGAATTTGAGGATGAGGTTGAAATATAATTGTTAAGACAGTGAGATGATTTAATAAATAAGAATACCCTTTTCTGTTAATAAAAATTTGTAAGTTGAAGAAAGTGATACCCTGAGAGTCCAGCAAAACCGGGGGAAGGACTTCAACATAATAAAATGACAATTATCTGTAGACTGATAAGCTTTTTCTTTTACTTGAGATGTTGAATTATGTTTACTTTTAGATCATGTTTCTAGTACTAGGAAGTGCTTGGAAACTTTTTCATCTTTGTATTCTTCTAAGTTGTGGTTTTGTCGGTTTTAGACACATGAATGAGTGATTATTCTTCTGCAGTATTGCTCCAATAGTGAATGTGTAGGGCTACTGTGCAGATCTAGTACTTAAAGTAACAAAAGAACAAAATCTTTGAGTTAAAGGATTAACACTTTAGTTTGCTATTGCAGCATCCTTGGAGTTCAACCATTCATATGGCTATTGATTTGGAGGCAATGGGTATTGGAGGAAAGTCCAGCATTTTCCAGGTATATAGTTTTAATCCCCCCATTGACTTGTTGCAAGGGATTAGTATGAACTTTATGAAATCCACTTAATGAGACAACGGTAATTCTTAAAAACTTATCATTCACAAACTTAAGCTGATTTACCCAATGGTACTGTGTTTGGGCGTATACCTGCTTGTCAGATTTACCAAATTTTCAATTGTGCAGCCTTCTTTCAACTATATGGTTGAAGGTTGCTGTATACTGTGTTAGCTGTTAAGAGAGATTAGTATCCTTGGTGGATCATTCCAACTAGTTTTTCCCATTCTAACTTTAGACACCAGTGCTAATTCAGGAAGGAACTAACTAGGAACTCCTTCCTCTCACGCATGGATGGGCACCAACAGTGATTGTTGGACAGCTATACCACCCATGCTTATTTTTCCTTCTTTAAAGTGGATACTTTCTATTGTTTGAAGTGCTCCTATGTCACTGTTTTGACCTTGTGACATCAAGCATATGATTGAATCTACCACCTGTTTGTATGACATGTTGTAAGATCCTTGTGTTTTAATTTGATTTCAGTGATGTTGTTCTTGTGATTTACCATGTGAAAATTTCAGTGTCCTTTCATTTATATATTCTGAACCTCAAAATAATCAAATCAATATTACTTGGTATTTCCTTAGCTTAACTAGTTTGCTTATATTTTACCATATTTCCCGTCAACTTATATTCTGTTCTATACTTGATAGGCTGGACCTCATCCATTGGCTGTGGAGAGCTTTGCTTCAGTTGCAAAATACCCATCTGGTCTTATCATAGCTCAGGTGTGATTTTCTTCTGCTTCTCCCTATGGGTGTGTGTACACATACATTCATATGTGCGTGCATATTTTGTATGCTTTCTATTTCATGTCATGCTTTGGTAGTTAATTTTTCCTAAAGTTTGAAGGAAACCTTAAAATCTGAGCGATAAAATGCCGTAGGATCTTTTCTCTTCTGGAGTCATAAAATCTGCAACAGATTTCCAAGTGTACAGAGAGGTTGCTGGTCTTTCAGGGCTTGACTTTGCATACACAGACAATGGTGCAGTATATCACACTAAGGTCTTCTCTTCATTTCTTTGCCTCTTTCTCACCATTGACTTGGAAAGTTTCATTTTCACATTAAATTATGGTTGATTTGGAATCTTTTATTACTCTGATCAAAGGAATAGGATTTACTAGGTCTTTCACTTTTGCCTAGATAAGAGAAGCTCCTTTATTTAGATGCTATTTATGATCCATATATATGTCTGAAATTTGATAGCCTGGCTGATATGCAAGGATAGAATACCAATGTTTTCAGTTCTTGTCAGAGACTGTGTAGACAAGTGGGAGGCTGGCTAGAGAACCATTGAGTGGTTGTAAACTTAGGGAGCAGGAGCTAAATTGATTGAACCACAGGATGGACTGAATAATTTTATAATGTAAGAGTTGGTAATTATAATGTTCTCTGAGTATGTAGTGTGCAGATGAAGCTCATAATATTATCATCTGAATTTTACAGGTATGATGTGTTTGTGGAAATAAGTAGAGTGCATTATGATGGTGAAGACTGTAAAATGATGGAAAAGGAGAGAGAGTTATTAATTTGTGGACAAAGGTGTCAGTGACCAATTGGAAGTTCCTGAATAGTGTATAAGTGAGATTTAAAGCTTTTAAGGATGGGCTTTTATCAATGGGAAGCCGTTATGATCAGCCAGTCAAAAGACACAATGTGCTTGGTTGAACTAATAGAAAGATGATATCCTTGTGATAATTACAAGACAAAGGAGTAACCAATGAAAGGTGCCATATGGAAAAAATGGCATCTTCGAAGCTCAAGGCTCTCCTTAATGGATCCCTCTCTAATTAAGTTTACCAAATTCAATAATGATGATTATTATTTGGGTCATGCCACCAATCCAAGAATTATTGGCATTGAAGTTGGATAAGGCACCATTTAATGATGATTTTTGCAATTTCAGATATATAATCAAGTTTGAAAATTAATCAAGACAAACTGGGGACTAAATTGATCATATGTCTAGCTATTTGTTTGAAAATAGGACTGAAATATTTAAAATTCAAATAATTTTACTCAATAACATTCATGGTTTTAGTAATTTACAAAAAGTGTGAAAGCAGGTTTTTTTTTTTTTTTTTCCGGTTTAATGGTTTACATGATGTGATGCACATAAAAGTGACTGGTTACCCTCTAAATAGAATACTTGATATTTAGTATTATAAGCTGCACTTTCATTAGCAAATCTAATTAACATCCTTATATTTATAAAGAATTAAAAAGAAGAAAATGCTAATTTTCACCTGGTACACAAAGCATTTTAAATATTTAAGTTATTAGTTTCTCAGACGTATCAACTAGTTCAATTAACCTAGTGCTTAGTCTTGACATATTATTATTTTTTCACTTTTGGAGTTCCATTGAATCTCAATATTACCTTCCTGCATTCTTGGTCTTGGAAGCAATTCATAGTCTATGAGACAATTAATGAAATCCTAGTATAACTAAATTAATTAATTAAAGTAAAAGAGGGAAATTGAATCATTTTTAATCCTTTTTTCAGTGCTAATTAAGAAACAAAAAAGAAAGGGAGACAAAATAGATTGACAACTCTAATTCTTTTCTTATTTCAGAATATTTAAATTTGAATATTTTCTGCAGAATGACAAATTGGAGCTATTAAAATCAGGATCTCTTCAGCATCTTGGAGAAAATATGCTTGCTTTCCTGCTTCAGATTGCACCATCCTCTCATCTTTCAAAAGGCAAAGTAATGGATGATGACAGACAATCTAACCAGGACACTGCTGTATTTTTTGATATTTTGGTACCTTCATAATCTTTGGAACTTAGTTCTTGTTTTTGAAATCCGCTTTCCCTCTTTCCTTTTTGTCCTTCACAATTTTATTTCCTAGCTAGCCATGTTATAATGTTTCATGGAGCATTTGGCTACCATGAAAATTTTGCAGGATGTTATTGCTAAAACTTTGTTGATCTCAGGGGCAATATATGGTTGTTTACCGTCAACGGTTTGCAAACATGCTTCATAATTCGGTGATAATGCAATCTCTTCTGATATGGACTACATCTTTGCTTATGGGTGGTTATACAGCTGCATTTTCATTGGTCTTGTCATGTTTAAGTATTATCCTCATGTGGATATTTTCAATAAGTTTCTCAGCTCTTGTTGCATTGATCCTACCCCTGATATCTTCATCACCTGTGCCATATGTTTCAACCCCATGGTTGGTGGTTGGGTTATTTGCTGCACCTGCTTTTCTTGGGGCTTTAACTGGTCAGCATTTGGGCTATCTTGTTTTGCAAAGATATTTATCAAATGTTTATGCCAAGAGAAAACAGCTGTCACCTGTTATCCAAGCTGATCTGATCAAGTTAGAGACTGAAAGATGGCTCTATAAAGCTGGTTCTCTTCAGTGGCTTGTTCTTTTAATTATAGGAACTTACTATAAAATCGGATCATCATACGTTGCTCTTGTTTGGCTAGTTCCACCGGCATTTGCATGTAAGCTGACATTTACTAGTTTGCCTTTTGCACAAGAATAACTCCATTACTTTCCGTAACTTGGATGAATCTGAAGTCTGTTGATGTTAAGAAGAACAATGTCCATTGTTCTGAATTGTGCCACTGTGGAGTGTGGATGCATGCCTGGCATAATTAATGTTAATAACACATGTGAAATTACTTATCTTTTTTTTTTCTGATCAATATTTGGAATACCTTATCTTGATGGTATTTGCTTTAGACTAATTTTCTTTACTATATTCCTTAGATGGCTTGTTGGAAGCAACTTTAACCCCAGTTCGGTTACCAAAACCTCTCAAACTTGCAACTCTGTTGATGGGCTTGGCCATTCCGATTTTAGTTTCAGCTGGCATATTCATTAGATTTGCTAACACAATCATTGGACTTAGTGTACGATTTGACAGGTAAAATTTATAAGATGATTCTTACTTTGAATGTTTGCTCCTTGGTTGAGATTCTATCCTAACCCTTTCTCATGTCATTGATTGTCAGCATGAGTAAGTTTCTGTAGCTGATAAGAGAGTAGTTATCTGCCTTTTTGCTTTATCAACAAATAATAGAAAATAAATCATCTTAAACTTTGTGGTTGCTGCCAAACCTTCAATGCGTATATTCAGAGGATATGCCTCAGGTCTCAAGTGATATTCAGTTTTACAGATCATCTAACCTTGAGTTCTGTGCATATAGATTCATGTGATATTAGTTGGACGGCATGAATGTGTACCAAAATTAGTTTGTTACTTTTGTTTCATTATGGTGATTAACATATTTGAATTGAGCTTATGAGGAAGTTTATCTTGAGAAATTTCTTTCAGTAATATTTTTCTTGACACCTTAGTTAGGATGTTGCTAAAGTATAGAGCTATTTTTCCCTGAAAAGCACGAATGTATAGAGTTTGTACTACTGTATCACTGGCTTTAACTCCTCTCTTTTTGTTATAACAAGGGTGATAAATACAAATAAATTAAGCTTTGCCACACTGTATGTGATTAAATACATTGATCCTTTTTATGCCATTCTACTCTATTTAGGATCACATAGGATCAGTAAACTCAAGGTCCTTCTGATTGTTTCAACTCCTGTTGTCAATCTTCCATTCCCCTATTTGACATGGTTGCATTTTCTTCCAAGCATTTGTAGGGCTTTATTTTACTTTTCCAAATCACATTAAATGGTCTCCCTCTTTTTTTTTTTCTATTGACACAATGCTTGCCTTCTCTCAGGGAACTTCATTTGTACTTTTTATCTTCTTTCTCTGTGTGTGTGTGCATGTTTTGGGGTTTTTTTTTTTTTTGTTGGGGGGGGGGGGGTGTTGGGGGTTGTTGAGGGAGGGAATTATCCATTATAGCATCATCATCTTAGCTATCCTCATTTCTACACATAATGGCACTTGGCTACTCGATAGACAAATTTGTAAAGCATTGGTAGTAAAACTATAAAATTTCCCTTAGCCTAACTGGTATTTTGTCAGCACACAGGATTCTGGATGCACTCTTTGATTTTATCCAAGTTTTTCATAGTAAATATATCAACAAAAAGATGTGAAAGTATACTATCTTTAACATAATTATTAAAATTTTTGGGGATTTGGGGTCTGGGATCTTTTACCTTACTGTTCTGCAACCTTATCATCAGAATTCATAAAGACCCAAAATCCTGAATACCTGATAATTTAGAGTTGTGTAGTGGAGATATGTTCTGATATTCTGATTTCTAGATTTTTGTCTATCTTTCTTGTGCTTAGACAGTATGCCAGTTGACATCCTTTGTGCTATATACTGGATTGGCATAGCATGGTCTGTTTAAGTGGAAAAACTTTTGATATTGTTGCTCTAAAGAAAAACTTTCTTAGTTTAGTTTTGGAATTTAGATTTTATACTTGCTTTAGTGATTTTATAAAAGCACTGCTGACCATGCTTTATATGCTTGTGTAGAAATCCAGGCGATACTCCTGAGTGGCTGCCGAGTGTGGCACTTTCCTTTTTTATTGCAGTTGTTATATGCCTGACTCTAGTGTATCTCCTTTCGTATATTCATCTTTCAGGTATTTATTTATCATAAATGCAGGTGTTTATTTATTACAAATGCTTTCTATGTTGCCCTTGGCATTGACATTTTTGTTAGTGATGATGAGCTGTCATCATTAGGTTTGATTGGTCAATGAATATCAAGACAAAAAAATAAATATATATTTAGCCATTAGGACAGTCAATACACCTAAATATAAGGTCAGAGTATATGCCTTTTAGGCATAAAAGGGGGTGACCTTGAAGTTTGAACAGATGTGAATTTGATCCAGGAAATGTTATTTAGAGTCAATTGTATGTAGTAGCATGAGCCAGATATGCTCACATACCCTTCTGCTTCTGGAACATGCTGAACAGTTTCAATTTCATTGACTGTTGCATTATAAGATGATAATATAATCAATTGTTTAAACTATCCTTATAGATCCCCTAATTTATAAACAATTGATAAATAATTAAGTTTTTTGATCATCAGCTAAAAGCATGATGATCATGCAAAACTAAGAACTTAAGGCTGAGCAAAATAATCTAATTATACCACTGTTGTATTATTATTATTTAACTGTGGGCATTATAACAAATGCACCAGTGAGTAATGAGTTGATGGTGCAGAATGTGTATGGTTAATTGATCTTTGGCCTGCTTTGAAATTTCCCAGATGTTCCTGCCAAATGTAGGATGTCCCCCAGGTGTAGGACAGACCTCAGGAAGTCTGCCTACTTTGGTGTTGGTGAGCTGGGGATAGAATTTAGGGATTTTGGGGTTTATGGCTTTGGTAGGAACTCAGGTTAAGGTTTAGGAATCATTTGGGTTCTGATTCAACTGTCATTAAGGGGAAAAGGGTGCTGGAAATTCTGAGCAGCAGCAAAACTAGAGGAAAAAAAAAGCACAGTTTATCTATATGAGTAGTACTCCAAGACACCGTGGTAGTGTATAGAAAGAAAAAGAAGAGTTGAACTTAATAACTCAGATTTTTATTAAAAGATCCAACTCCAGCAACTCTGGTAGTACAAAAGAGATGTAAATAGGCAAATACTAACTCATCATTCCTGGCTAGGATTCCTAACTGATGAGACTTAAGAACAAGGCCAATGTTATAAATTAAAGACTATATGGAAGCCAAATAAGTTGGCTAAATACAAGACCAACGAACCAGAATTAAGGCCGATTCTCGAAAAACAAAAGATTACTGAAATACCTCGGCCCTCTGGACATAGAAACTTGATTGAACTGATAAATTAGTATCATATTTACCTACTAACTACCAACATGTTCGACTGGACCAAAAGAATAGCCTTTTTTATAGGAAAAAAAGCAATTTTGTCCATGATGAAACCATAATCTTAGTGTTTTGCTTACAAAGTGAATGAATTTGTCTAAGCGAGCTATTGACATTCTATCACCCATGTAGTTAAGATTTAAGGGCTTCTTGGGTGTCATTTATTTCTTTGAAAATATTTTGCAAGATTAACCAACTCTTCTATTCCCAGAGTCAATTACTTTCCTCCTTACTTTCCTATTAACCATCTCTTCGAAAATATTTTCCTATGTTGTCATTGATGTGCTCCATTATGTACAATAAAATATTTATGAAACAATTATTTTTTGAAATGCTTGTTTATTCTCTTCATGTTGTGTGACCACTTTGTAGGTGCAAAAACATCTATTGTCCTTTCAACTTGTATTTTCTTTGTTCTGTCACTTGCTGCGGTATTTTCTGGTATAATTCCTCCATTCACTGAGGACACTGCCAGAGCTGTGAATGTAAGTTTCATGCCTATAGTTTAACTATTGCATTCTTAAACAACTATATCAAGGTGTTACCTTTCATCGTATTAATGATAGTTGTCATTGTTGGCGTTATAACTTGAAAAAAATGTTCTGTTTGTGGTTCAGTATCTTGATTCTTGAATCCAAGAATTTTAATGAATGAAATGTTTAATTTATTTAATTTGTTATGAAAGATTCTTGCAGCTGCTTGGAGCCCCCTTTTTAATGTTTGCAGCTTAGCTTTAAAGAGCAAGAACTGGGAGTTTAGTTTATTAGAGAAGCACCAATCCTCTAAGTTTAAGCTAATAGGAAAGGGCTAAAATATATAGTTTTTAATTCTAACAGCTATGGTTGTCTTCTATCTTGTTTTCCATAAAGAGAAGGATTAGGAATGAAACTAAATTAATAATCTTATATGAGGTTCTTCCTCTTGATATTTATACTTGGCTGTGACTTGTAACGATTACCTGAAGTTAGAAATAATTTTCACCAGAGTTTGAAGTAGTATCCTTGCTTTTTAATTAGGAGGGAACATGTATTATTGTGTCATTTTCACATAAGCTAAGTCTGAAAAAGTGGAGGTACTTTTCTTTGTAATTTAACTTTTTCATTAATATAGTTTATCCACCTGATATTCTGATACCATTTAAACAACTATTTTCAGAATACTGTGCTTCGGTACTTAATGTCTACATGGAACTTTCATTTCTTTCTTTACTGGTAAATTTCCAGGTTACTTTTTTAGTTTGAATTAGTTTAACAGATTCCTTTGGGCTGCTCTCAATTATGTTTTACGTTCATGTTTAAATTCAATTGTCTTTGTTTTTTAATAATAGAATCAGTTCTGTTTTTGAATGTATTGTTAGGATTGTTGAATGGTGTTAGCAACTTAGCATAGTTCTAGCATCTAATTAAATATGTTTTTATATCTTCTTGAGATAACAAAAATTTTTATGGTTCCCAGGTGGTGCATGTTGTGGATACAACAGGAAGACTTGGTGAAAAGCCTAACTCATTTGTATCTCTATCTTCCATAACTCCTGGAAAGTTGACCAAGGAAATTGACCAAATTAAAGAGGGCTTTGTCTGTGGCAGACACAAGGTCATTGATTTTGTTACTTTTTCAGTCAAATATGGCTGTTTGACCTTTGATGAAACCGAAGGGGGATGGAATGAGTCTGATATTCCTGCACTAGATGTTGTTAATGATACAAATGGTTATAAGAGAATCACACAAGTGGTAATTGATACAAAGAGGTCCAAACGCTGGTTTCTTGCAATCAATACCGAGGAAATAGAAGATTTCATGTTTAAAGGTATAATGAAGTTTGCTCATGTGTGTCATTTTTCTTATATTCTCATTGGCATACTTGCATTTGTTCCTTTCTTTTTCCCTATTTAGAGCGAACAAACCATGAAGAGGAAAAAGGCGGATATGTAAAATGAGAGGAGGGTGGAGGTGTCAATTGGGTTGTCGGGTTGGGTTTGGTTTGGTTTACTTTGGATCGGATCATTTTGGTTTGGGTGTCTTCTAGTTTTTCTTTGTGATATCACTGTTATTATCTTTCTCCATTGACTTTTGGAGAGAGGTGTAGGATTCCAGATATAGACTACGCTATAACTCAATACTGAAAATTAGTTCTACTGCACCAATTAGTATGATGTTATTGCTTGTCCGACTTTATCCTTGATTCTCTCGTTTATCTGTCTGTCTGTCTGTTGTCTATCAATCTTAGTTTTAACCTTGAATGCAGTGGATTCAAAGGAGGTAGTCCCAGCGGATGGTAAGAGCAGTGTAGATGGATGGCATATTATTCAAGTTTCAGGAGGGAAGAATGCACCAACAAGGTTTGATCTGACACTCTTCTGGGCAAAAAATTCCACACGTCAATCACACAAGATGCAGGGACAGGAAGAGTTGCAGCGTCCACTCTTGAAGCTCAGAACCGATCTTGACAAATTAACACCAAAAGCTGAGAGAGTCCTTAAGAAGCTTCCACCGTGGTGTTCATTGTTTGGAAAGTCCACATCCCCACACACTTTATCTTTTTTGAGTAGTCTTCCTGTTAAGTTTTAGATACCTGCAAGGAAATACTATAAAGATTTTGGAACACTTGACTTGTTAGAAGAATATTGGTTTTCTTGTATAAGTGCATAGGATGAGTTAGTGGAGACACAGTGCATTCTCGTTTTTTTTTGGCGCTCTTCTGTAAGTGAAGAACCTTGTCCAGCATCAGAAATTACTTGTACCTATCTCCACTTATCAATTGTAGGTAAAGAACTTTACAAATTTTTGTAATAAAAATTTGTTACTATCTGTTGCTGCTGCTTTGGCACAAGGATTGCTTTTCTGATTGCGTTCATCAGATGTAGGAAATGGTGAAGAAAGCCATGGAGATTAGAGAAATTTTAGAGGTACTGAACGAACAGAATTAAGCTCGGGTTTCAGTTCTTATTACATTCTTTTATTTATGAATGGCCTGTTATTTAGCTTTGGCATACTCCAAGATGTGTATAGGATCAGTTTCCTAAGTCTTTTCAACATGAGTGAAGAACTTCAATCCGATCTGGTTAGCATTATCAACTTTTCACGGGATAAGAGTCTAACAACTAAAAACGATGCATTGAAAAAATATTCTAATGTAAAATAAAAAGGAGAAAAAAAAAGAAAAAAAATAAAACATCTATAGTTCATTATAGCGAGAATGTAAGCCAAATTATCCCCAATTGAACTAACTCCATTAACTTGTATATGATATCTCGTTGTATCAATCTCATCATAGCATCAACTAAATTTTTCATATTTCATGATTGCCTAAATTTATGAAAACTACTACTAAATTTGATTTTTTTAATAAAAAAATATTATATAATAGAACCATATCAATATTGCTTTTGACTTTTGAATGTAATTAGCAATATGGAAAAATAACCCATCGCTTGCTTTTCATTTTTTTTCTTTTGGACGTAGTAAGAATCATTCAAATCAGTGGCCAATCAAATTATGAATTTGTGCCCATTTAGGAAATGGTCAAAAGAAAGGAATAGCAATGAAGCCATAAAAGTGTGGGAAAGTGTGCTTCAATTTCATGTGAAAGACGCTTCCCACCCTTGGAAGTTGTCTCCCGTTGGAATTTAACAAGAGTGGGATGCCACTTTCATCAACTACATCATTTTTTTAGATTGATACTGACCCTTGAAATGTCAAAATTCAAAACCAAAATAAAAATATCTCAATATTGCCCTTCGAAATTAACCCCGAAAATAATTCACCTCGTGAGCAAAAAGGTCCTTTTCTATATCCATTGTTATCGTCACGTTGTCTCATTTGGTTGAGGCACCCACGTGGCATGCGGCTACAATCACATATGTTTGATTTTTTTATTTTACAACCTTATGTTTGAAAAAAAAAGAAACTTTTTTTCAACCTTATGTTTAATAAAAATTTGTTATTATCTATTGCCGCTGTTTTGGCACTGGTTTTCTGATTGCATTTATCAGAGGTAGGAAATGGTCAAGAAAGCCATGGAGATTAGAAGAATTTTAGAGATATTGTTAGATTTGATAATTTATATATTTTTATTGTATAAAATATTAAAAATTTATATATTTATATTATATTTTATATAAAAATTATGTGTTATAATTTATATTAATATAAAAATATAAAATATATTTTTTTAAATTTTATTAAATTTATTTATAATTTTTATTAAAATTTTAAATTATATTATTTATATTTATTTATTTATATTCTTATCATATCATATTTAAAATTATTAGATATACTGAACATTGAAATCCGGTTCAAAGGACTGCCGATGCTTTCAAATTCATGCTTTAGAGAGAAATAGATCTCCAATGGATTTTCTTTTTTTTTTTTTTTTTTCTTTATTTAAAAAGTCTATTTTCAGGAATCTTGTTACTGGTCAAAATTCTCACTATTTCAATTGTGGATTGGGGGAAAAAAAATGGAACATCGGTAACTTCATTCGTTATATCCCACAACCACCTCCTGTAGTGTTAAAAATAATGAGTTTAAATTTTATAAGAGATTTATTTAAAATTAGTTAAATATTATTTAATGATAAAAAGTTTATAAAAAAATGTTAAAAAAATATTTTTTTAATAGATAAATTTAATATTAAAAGAAAATTAAGAGAAAAAATTCTTAATAAACAAATTAATATACTTATAAATAAGTAAAATCTATATAAAATTATATATGAAACAAAAATATAAGAGTTTATAATATTTTATGGGATAAACAACTCATAATACCAATAAAAATTTACGTTTTATTAGAGATTTACATAATTTATAAATGAGTGTATATTTATATATTTTTTAGTGTACTAAAGAAAATTGAAAGTATTCATATAAGTATGATGCATATAAGTGAATTAGAAGAGATTAAGAAAGTTCATATTGGTATGGAGTATAAGTGCACGTAAATATATATTTATTTGAATTAAGAATATTTCATAAAACTAGTTGAGAAGGTCTATAAATATTAATTATTGAATGAGATTGATTTGATATATGTTTATAATTCTTTATAATTAATAAATTTTATTTTTCATTTCTGAACGTAAGTCAATTAAATTGAATCAAATTAAATTATTATTTTTTATGTGTTTGATTAATTATTTAATTTTATTTTTATTGATATGATTGAATTAAAATCTTTTGAATTATTACGTGAAAATTAAGAAACACAATCTCGAGAAATTAACACAGTCCTTTTTTTTTTCTATGAAAACATGGTCTTCACCTTTCATCACACTTTTGCTTCAGTTTTAGTCCAATTGACATTTTTTTTAGTGTTTTTGGCAATGGATTTAGCACGAAGGCAACCTGCACTAATTGGCATTTGGACTCTCTTTCTGTCTATTACCGAAAAAAATAATTACGGACCACGTTATCTAGAACTTATCTCTTTCTGTCCTTGGTCCACAATTATCTGGAACCCCATATGCAGCTAATTTTGAAACTTGACCACATAGCAAACATAAACAAGCAGCCATCCCTCGGTATTTTCACAGAGATTTTCAATCCTGAGATTACTCACAGCCTTGAAAATTTGGCTCATTTTCAGGCATCTTCTTACTGGTAAAATTCTCGTTGTTTCAGTTGTAGATTGGGAAAAAATTTTCATTGTTGTCTAAGGAAAAATGAGCGTAAATTGCAAAAAGAAGTGGGACATGTAGTAGTTGTAAAGTTAAAAAGCAAACTCATGATAGCATGCTGTTTTTCTTATATTGGACCAACCTATAATGACGAATACCTTAATAAAACTGAAATTTAACACTCGAAACATCCCAAGATGTCGAACTCCAGTAAGTTTAACCGATTGTCAAACATTTTCTTTTACTTATGAATGGCCTGTAATTTAGCTTTTGCATACTCCAAGATGTGTACAAGATCAGTTTCCCCAAGACTTTGAACATGAGTGAAGAACTTCAATCTCACCTGATTAGAAGCAGTATCAACTGTTCACAGGATAAGAGTTTAACAATTTAAAAAAATATTCTAATGTAAAACAAATCTAGTTTTACATACTCAAAGATAAACATATTTGTAAAAATACCTGTTATTGAAATGTTCCCATCAACATCTTCAGCAGACATTGATGCATACCTATAAAACGGTAAATTATTACATCAATTAACTTAACCATTGTTATAGGTATTAATACTTCAGGTTTGAGGCTCCAACTTCGGCTTCCTTTGTACCAAAACTTTTTATGTATTAACAAAATGTGCAAACTCAACCGTTTCAAAACTAGTGAATCTAACCACGATAAACTACAAGGAATTCAGATTTGTATGTGATGAACAGTTTAAATTAACAGCGTATGTCTTCGAGAAGAAATCAAGCTCTTCAAATGTCAAAAGCCATAATTTGGTAGGGACATGAAATTCCACTTTTGGCAGACTTGGTTGGACCCATTACCATTGAAATGACAGATCTTCAAGTCGTAACCGATAATCAAACCAACATAAAATAAAAAAACAAAAGATCAGCAATAAAAAATAGAAAATCATACTCACCTATATTGAACATCCAGTCCCACACTAGACACGCCTTTAGAAACAGCCTGAAAAGTCAATTGGCAAAATCAACGAAAGCATATTAGACAATTACTCATCAGAATATTGATAAAATCAAACTACATGGATACATATAAAAAAGAAAAAGAGAGGACCTAGAATCAAAAATTAAAGTGAAACTACTAGTTTTATCATCGTAAGTATAGCTACAAGCCTAAGGGCATTGCCTGTATTTAAAAAAAGGCATATAAATATGACAGATGATGATAAAAGTAACAATTAGTAGGTAGAGTCTAAGGACTTAAAAAGCTACGTTAATGGAACTTGAGATGATACGGAAAAATGAAAAACTGAATCAACATAACTTAAAAACAATACTTCACAAGCAGGAAAATTGTCAAAAGTACTGATGATAACAGGGGGATATAAGATTCAAATGGACGCTAAAATTACATTATGCATGACATTTACAATTACTGAGAATTAGTCATGCATGGGAGGGGGAGAGATACCTGTAGCTGTAACATTTGTGCCGAATCAACATTAGTAATTGAATCGATTGAAACGCTTAACCGTCCAGATGCATTACCATTAGTCTTATTCAACGACCATGCAGCAATACCAGCAGCTATTGCTGTTAGAAAAATGGGGTCCAGTCCCATGTAAGTGGTTTTGGACCAAGTAAAGGCCATGGGCCTTGATCTTTTATTTTACACAGAGCCCTAGCTACTTAATAAAAAAGAGGTGGGGTTGTTTAAAGTGTGTGTGTCGACAACCAAGCAGAGAAAGAAGAAAAGCCAGGAAAAGCAGAGAGAGAAAAAGGAGAAGGGAGAGTTGGTTGAACGGAAGTCAATCTGTGGTCCGATTGAGTTGGAACCTTGTCAGGAGGTTTATGATTCAGAGTTCTACATTCTGAACGGTCAAGATCGGGTTTGAAGCTCTCTAAAAACAAATCCAGGGTGTATTTGTTGAGTCACTTATTTGGTGAGATTTCTCCAATTGTTTCTCTAGTTGTTGATTAGCTCTAGTTTTAGCTAGAGAAGAACTTTGTATAACTATTATTTGATAGTGAAGATTTTTCTGGCGGCCCGTGGTTTTTTCCCTCTACACTGGAGGGTTTTCCACGTAAATCTTGGTGTGCTTTATTTTTCTGCGCATTTGATTATTGATTGTTGTCTATTGCTTCTGTATTGTTGTGATTATTGCTTCAGGCGCAACAAGTGGTATCAGAGCGAGGGTTATTTTGAGACATCGATACAGAAGC